CTGGAATTATTCGTTTTTTCCTCTTCTTTGTCGTCGATAGCTTTTTCATTCCCATGCCGAGTTTTGCCTTTGCCTTCATTGCTGTCCAAACAGTCGTAGCGGCTGCTCTTTCACCGAGAGTCGAATTCCTCGCGGTAATGCATTCTCGCGATCTTGCAGCTAGTATGCGATCCGCGATGTGACGGTGGTCGAGGTCGTTGCTTCGAGCGTAAGCAATGTCGTGTTCGCGACACGCTGCGTCCAATGGATTGATACCTCGATCGCCTCTAGCCAATGGTTTCTCTAATCGAGTTCCCGGCCCGCAAAACTGATAACCGGGAATATGTAATTCAATGGGAAGCGCGTTTATCGCACGATTTAAGAGATCGCTGCCTCTTACGATTCTCGCTGACATTCGTAGCAATCTTTTATCAACGGTGGTGGACCGTCGATGTGTGTTCGTTGCCACGGCTGGTTGTAATGTCGCATGCACGAACGATATTGTTGAACCTTCGAATCAGCCTTTACATATTCTGGAAGCTTGTTCCACAATCATTCCACGTAATCACCGAAATTTTGCAGTAAAAGAATTCGGGATATATTGCAGTTGTTCGGCGGTAAGCCGGAGAATGTCTCTCTCATCCAACAAAAAGAGAAACATTTTTGATATTGAGCGGTTTCGAGTCAAGACACTTCTATAAATAGGTTTCCCCCTCGTGATCATTCGCAAAATTGATGGGAGAAGAGAAAACGTGCGGTTCGTGCGACAAACGCGGATAATCAAAGTATCAAATTTCGACGATAGATTAATATTGGAGAAAAAAGTACGCAAGCATGGAAACATGCTACCGACTACTATACGCGGTATCGTTTGCGGCCCTTCAAACTGTGGTAAGACAAACATGTTGATTAGTTTGATAGAAAGTCCGCACGGTGTACGTTTCAAGAACATGTACGTATACTCGAAATCGCTTCAACAGCCGAAATACAAATACTTGGAAAATTTACTAGCACCTATAGATGAAATGGGTTATTTTACATTCTCTAATAACAGCGACGTCATTCCACCGAGCGAGGCGCTTCCGAATTCCATCTTTATCTTTGATGACGTGGCGTCTGACAAGCAAGATACGATAAGAGAGTACTTTGCAATGGGTCGACACTCGAGCGTTGACTGTTTCTATCTTTCTTTCAGACGCCAAGATACCTAAGCATCTTATACGCGACAACGGGAACCTGCTGATCTTATTTAAACAAGACGGCACATATTTGAAACACGTGTACAACGATCACGTGAATACCGACATGTCTTACGATGTCCACCGATGATTGCAATGTGTCAGAAATGTTGGCAAAAATTGGACGATATAGAAGAGGATTTAACGATTTCGCGATACCGTAAAGCGATCAGTCGTCATCGACACATCGATCGAGCATCATTAACGGCGATCGTGAAAAGATTGCGTGAAGAGATTGCAAAAACGATCGAATCGATTCGCAAAAAGTATCGCGCTTTGAAAACTGGTAAAATGGAGGAAGATATCATATTGGAAAGATAATTTAAGCCGATTATCGAGCCTTTAAAACAGCTTGTCGAAAATACTGTGGAATCTGATGTGTCGAAAATCGAACCGTTGAGTTTGACGTTTGGAGAGAAGCATGAGGAAAAAATAAAAGAGTCAAAGCAAGGAATAAAGCGAGCACTGATAAATATGCCGATAAACGATTCACCGATATATTCGACACCAAATCGATTAAAGCGAAGGAAGCAATTCTCTAATATGGCTACTATTTCTACTCCGATAAAAGCCCGCGTCAAACAATACCATCCACGTCCGTCGAAGAAATTTACAAGACCACGCCCGATTCGTTTGTCATCAACATTGGTCCGACACGAATTAGAAACGTCCGAAGGTCAAAAAACGTTCCGAGAGCATTTTGGTCCCCTGGCGCAAAAATATATGGAGATATTATGAGTGTTGATAAAAATAAGAGCATAGATTACGTCTACGGTGTTAAATTTACCAACGAAGGAATAATGCTTGGTGATAAATGTTTCGATGTGGACAAGGAAGATAATATAATTATCGATGGAATAAAATATAAGGGAACCGAAGGTACCTACGATTTGATTTTTAAAAAATTTCCCAATCATAAAAAATATACTCGAGATGATTTGTATAAATATCAAAGTACATTAAATATAATAAATGCGCATAAGCGCGACAACAAAGTTAATCCTATTAAAACTAATAATCCTATTGAAACTAATAAAGGATACAAGTACAAATATATAATTGCGTCATTATTCCCCGATAGAAAGGTGGGAAGAGATATAGACGCACCGCGCACCATGACGCTAAGCGGCAACATGATCGATTACGTGCATTGGAACGATCCCAACGAATTGGTGGATCGTTTACGATTGCTGGACGCCTCGCGTCGAGCTGGCAACAATGCTCACGACAATGAAATATCAATTATCGAAGAATTTCGCGAGGCTGGCATTATTATAAATTAAACTATGTGTTGACGATACGTGGCATTCGGTCAATGTTTTCGGTACTGAAATGTCGATTAATAAATTTGGATTATCGCTGAGAATATCGAACAATTTGTACTATGAATGGATTATTGAGAAATTACGTTCGCGATAACGCTCTCTGCCAGACTACTATCGGCTTTGACGCAAGGTCGCGCAAGATTCAACGCGTAGCACAACCGGAAACTGATACCGACGCCGTCAACAAACGATACGTGGATAAACTTTTGAGAGATTGACAGAGAGAAATTGAGCGAAAAATTATCACGCTCGAAACAAACGTGCAGGCGCTTCGAATAATGATAGATGAGATAAAGAATGTGCTGAAATATGCAACATCTGACTCGACATAGTAAGCGAGATATACGGATATACTAATATCGCATATTCATTATGCCTCGATCAAATGTGCGAGAGAACAAAAACATCTCCGAAAAGCGACAACTAGTCGAGGAATTACATACTCCGGCGAGAAGAAATTTTCCACGAAGACGCGGATACGACGATCTGTGGCAGGCGGACGTGGTGGACATGCGTTCGTACTCTCGACTCAACAAGGGTCATACTCACAGTTATCGATGTGTTGAACAAGTATGCGTGGGCCGTACCGCTTAAAAATAAGAGCGGGAACGAAATGTCCGAAACGATCGCAAAAATTATTGGAAACGATAAAAGGTGTCCGAAAAATTTTCAAACCGACAGAGGAAAAGAATTTTACAACTCGAGTGTGCAGAAACTCATGAAGAAACATAACATTAATCATTACTCGACATATTCCGTTATGAAAGCCTCGGTCGTGGAACGATTCAATCGTACTTTAAAAAACAATATGTGGAAAATGTTTACGCTGAACGGAAATTACAAATAGATCGACGAGCTATTTCGACTCGTTGCAGAGTACAATACGCGAAAACATCGCACCATCGGTATGAGATCTGTCGACGTCACTCCGACGATCGCCGAAAAACTTTTAAATACGGTGTACAGCAACGTAAAAATTGCGGCTCCGGCAAAATTTAAAGTAGGCGATTCGGTACGCGTGAGCAAATACAAGAACATCTTTGAAAAAGGTTTCACACCAAATTGGACGACCGAAATTTTTAAGATTATCGAGGTACAGAAAACTAATCCCGCGACATTCATACTCGAAGATTCACGGGGAAATCCCGTCGCTGGAGGATTCTACGAATACGAGTTACAACGCGTCGCCAATCCTGACGTATATCTCGTGGAAAAAATTTTACAAAAAAAGGGTGACGAGGTTTACGTGAAATGGTTGGGAATGAATAAATCATATAACTCTTGGATTCATAAAAATAATGTATTGTAAACATTTATTGAAACATAAAATATGCGTATAAAATATATAAAATTTATTAAAATGTAAATATATAAATATAAAAATATAATATAAAATGTACAAATATACATATATACATGGTTATGTACAAAATATACAAATATATACAATATAAATATATACAATTAATAAACGAAATGTACATTTTGTTCAAAACTCATAATCGGCATTTCGATAATCAAATTCGCGTGACTAAAATCAATTAATAAAATCATTTTATTAAATTCGAAGTTTCAAAATTAACGGGCGTCAAAGAAACTTCTCGAAACGTCTGTTTTCTATAAAAACTCAATCGGTCAATTTAGTTTCTATTTTTTTTAACGACTAAGAAACACTCATCATGCTCGTTGACAATAACATTGTCAACCGTCGACAAAATCAGAGCAACATATGGGCATGCGCGCCCATACGTCACGATCAGCTGATCGCCAATCAGCTGATCAAAAAAGATCGTGCGCATGGCAAATGTAAAAATTTCAATTCATGACCTCATCGGCGGCCAATAATGCGCGGCGCCCTGAGGTCACCGCTAAAATACGAAAATTATTGGCCCACGTTGCAACGGGCCCAAAAATTCTGCCTGCTATATAAAGAGCACGTGGGCACGAGGAAGTCTTGCGCTTTTCTAAGACGTGCTCTTTTCATTTTCGCTTTGTTACACCGCTATCTTACACCGCTTATAACGACCGCTATTCTCTTGGACTTCGATTATCCGCGCGTTTCCAAAGATCAACTCACTGCACCGCTCGCGATATCTCGTATAATAACTGTGTCGCTTTTTGCACCGCGCGCTTACTGTGAATCGTAATCACCGAACACTTGTCACCTTTATTTTTTGACATTAATAAAGTTTCGTCCTTTTGTTAACCGAAGGCAAATATCTTTTTACTGACGATCTTCCACTTTCCTCAATTCATTGCCGGACTTGCTTGCGAACACTTCTGGTCCTTCGAGCCGGATTTTTCTTAATCCGCATCCGCAAGTTCGTGAGTGACGTGCTCGGAGTGAAGTGCAGTGCATTCCTGAAAAGGAAAACAATCCATGTCAGTGAAAATGAGTATGGACGTGAATTCTCTGGTCGAGGCTTAGCGCGACATTCATGGGCGATTGTCAAAGTCCATGGAGAACCTGAAAAAGATGGGTGCGAGTCACATCAACGTAGGTGCCGTCGAGGCACGGATCAGCATACTTGACAGTCTGTGGAAAAAGGTTGAAGCTCAGCACGACAGCATTCGAGCCTGCCTCAAGGACAAGTATTACGAAAGTGAGTACGCTCGATCTGATTTCATTGAAACTTTAGAAGCTACTTACGTGTTGCAACGAAGCATGTTGATCCAATGTGCGGAGGATTTAAGAGCCTCGTCAACCGCGTCACAAGATCAAGGTCGAGAGCACGCAGTTAAAACCTCGCTTCCTCGCATAAAATTACAAACGTTCTCAGGCTCATACGAAGATTGGCCGTCCTTCCGCGATCTCTTTTCCTCAGTCATCGGAGAGAATTCGTCGATTTCTGACGTTGAGCGCTTCCATTATCTCCGATCGTGCGTCAAAGGAGCCGCTGAAAAGTTAATTCAGTCATTAATCGTCACCAGTGAGATATCATCACGCATGGGCGATTCTTTGCAAACACTTTGAAAATAAACGGGAGTTGATTCGTTCAAACTTCGCGACCTTCATCGCCGTGCCCAAAATGGGTCATGCAAGGCCAAGCACCACACCATGTTGCACGACGCTTACGTCTCGTCTAACATAAACGAAGCCACCGCACTCTCCGCGGTGCGCCAGCCTTCAGACCGCCAGGCAATTCTCCCCGCGATCGCTCGCGTGAACATTGCCGACCGCACCGGAGAGCCTCATGCAGTCAGAGCACTGATTGATCAGGGTTCCGAGGTGTCAATAATTTCCGACGCGCTAGTTCAACGTTTGCGCCTACCGCGCTCCCGCTCTTCAGTTTCAATCGTCGGCATCGGTGGAACCCAATCCTCCGCAACACGTGGCAAGCTTCTAACTTTGCAGCTCTCATCTCCAGTCACTGGATTTAAGCTCACCGCCGTTGCTCAAGTGTTACCTCGTCTCTCCGCTTACCAAAGACCAACCGCGAAAGGCCTCTCCTCGTGGCCTCACATTAACGGCCTCAAGCTCGCCGATCCAAAGTTCCTCGAGCATGACCCGGTCGAACTGCTGCTAAGCGCTGAAGTCTGCTCGACCATATTTGTGGAGGGACTCCGCAAGGGCAGCCCTCGAGATCCCATGGCTCAGGAAACCGCTCTAGGTTGGATCCTATCAGGTGGATCCAACACCGCTTCAGTCCGGGATCAGCGAGCGTCCTTTCAATGCATCATCGACGCGGAGTTGCAAAAGCTGGTGCACAACTTTTGGAAACAGGAGAAGGATCCGTCCACTTTAATCGCACTCCCGCCAGAGGATGAGAAGTGTGAAACACTCTTTTCACAAACTCACTCGCGAACCGCAAGCGGAAGGTATGTGGTTCGCCTACCTTTCGCGTCTTCGCCGCCATCCCTCTTCGGAACTCGAGCGTCTGCTGAACGCCTTCTTACGGCCATGGAGAAGCAGTGTCATTAAGATCCAAAATTCGGTTCACTCTACAAGGACTTCATGGTCGAGTACGAGAATCTGAAACACATGAGTCCAGTAAAGAAGAGCACCTCAGCAATGTGCTACTTACCTCATCACGGGGTCCTTCGTGAATTCAGCTCCAGCACGAAGCTCCGCGTCGTGTTCAATGGATCTCAACGCACACACTCAGGAGACTCACTCAACTCACATCTCCTAGTCGGCGAAAATTTACTACCTACTCTGGCTGACATCATTCTCCGGTGGCGTCGGCACCGCTACGTGTTCATTACCGACATTGAGAAAATGTACAGACAAATTCTCGTTCACCCGGAAGATCGTCGTTTTCAGCGCATATTGTGGCGTCCGAGCACCAGTAACGTAGTCACCGAGTACGAGCTGAACACGGTGACTCGCTCTCTGGACTCGCTTGCGCTCCTTTCCTAGCGGTCAGAACCTGAGGCAATTAGCATCTGACGAGGAGTCTCGCGGTCCACTAGGAGCTTCTGCCTTGCAGCATGACTGCTATGTGGACGACATCATCACTGGAGCCAACACCCTACCCGATGCGCTCTCCTTACAAGCACAATTGAGAGAGATCTGCATGGCGGGCGGGTTTCCGCTGCGTAAGTGGGCAGCAAACAACTCGGCCCTGCTATCCAGCATCCCTCAGGATCATCAGCTCCATCAGGCTCATCACGCCTAGGAGGGCGAGGTACACTCCACTTTGGGTCTGCGCTGGCATCCGGCAAGCGACGACTTTTCCTTCGCCATCCAACCTCGCATCGCAACGGAGTTGACCAAGAGACGAGTTCTAGCCGAAACCGCACGGCTGTTTGATTCGCTGGGATGGCTCTCTCCAGTTATAGTCAGAGCCAAGATCCTTCAGTCTACTTGGCTAAAGAGATTGGATTGGGACACCCCTCTTCCAGCGGAGGATACAAAACAATGGCAAATCCTCTTGAATGAGCTTCCCTCACTAGAGCATCTTCGCATCAAGCGTTGGATACAATCAGGAAGCAGCGATGAGCAGCTGGAACTTCACGGCTTCGCCGACGCCTCAGAACGAGGTTTTGCCGCCGTCATCTATCTCCGCTCGGCATCAGCCAATCACATTTCGTCTCACCTCCTGGCGGCCAAGACCAAGGTCGCTCCAATTAAACCAGTGACGCTCCCCCGACTTGAGCTCTGCGCCGCCGCCCTGCTGGTAAATCTCGTGTGCCAAGTCCGGTCAACACTGGACTTCTCTTCATTGGCCGTGCATCTATGGACCGACTCCAAGGTCACCCTCCACTGGATCAAGGGCCATGCCTCCCGATGAAAGACGTATGTGGCCAACCGAGTATCTTCAATCCAGCAGAAGCTTCCCGAAGCTCACTGGAAACACGTTTCGGATCGAGAAAATCCCGCGGACTGCGCCTCAAGGGGAATTTCGCCGAAGAAGCTCCTGAATCATCCTCTCTGGTGGACCGGGCCCAACTGCCAGGAACACGCTCAATGGCCAATCAACACCAGCGACGACTCCCTCGAGAGCATTCCTGAAAAGCGAATACATCTTTCAGTGAACACGTATCGCAACGACTCCGAGCCGGAAATTCTCCTCCGATTCTCAAACTTACACAGGCTCTTGCGAGTCTCTGCCTGGTGTCACCGATGGCGTAAAATTACCGTTCACGCCCATGACGTCACGCTACATCCAGATGAGATCGATGCGGCTCTCCTCCGGTGGCTTAAGGTAGTCCAAGGGGTCCACTTCGCCTCCGAACTTACCGCTGCACGCGATTCTCGTCCAATGCCGCATCGCAGCCGCCTGGCTAAGCTGGCCCCATTCATAGACGACCTTGGAATACTGCGGGTCGGTGGTCGGCTAAAATACGTCATGCTCTCTTATGACGAACGTCACCCGATAGTAGTTCCGCCAACGTCATGGCTGACGAAGCTCTTGGTGAAATCATGCCATCGTCGGACATTGCATGGAGGTGTGCAACTCACCTTGGGACTTCTGCGCCTCCGCTATTGGATTCCGCAAGGCCGAGCCGTCATGAAGCGAGTTCTTCACCGGTGCGTAACGTGCACCCGCTGGCGAGCTCTCTCACCACAGCCTCTGATGGGTGACCTACCTCGAGGACGAGTGGCACCCGCACGCCCCTTCCTCAGAACTGGAGTCGACTACGCCGGTCCTATCTTCATCCGCACGAGCAAGGGTCGAGGTCATCGAGTCCACAAGGCATTCGTAGTGGTCTTCATTTGTTTGTTTTCCAGGGCAGTCCATCTGGATGTTGCGTCAGATTACTCTTCTGAAGCCTTCCTCGCTGCATTCCGCCGGTTCATCTCACGCTCTGTGTAAAGAGATGTACCCGGATTGTGGCACAAAGGGCCTAGCGGAATAAGCATGTAAAATCTGCCCTTGATCATACAGAGCTGACATTAATGTCACAAGTTAGTACCAATATGATAAAACTTTCCACCAAATATTATTTTAAAAAATTCATTTTTTTAGGAGTTATGGAGAGAGAAAGTAAAATCAAAAAATGTATTTTTCTCGAAAACCACTTGACCGATTTTGATGAAAAAAATATATGTTATGTAGACTAATAAAACTAATTAACAGAAAAAATTTCCAAAATGTTTGCCAAAAAAAAACACCAAAAAAAAATTTTTGAAATTTTGAATATTTTTTTTGAGGGTGATATTTTAGAGGTACCATTTTGAAATTCTTACGAAAATTTAAGTGTAAAATTTCTTAAGTGTCCACTATAACATACATTTTTTTTCAAATTTTTTAAAATGGTGGAACATAGTTAAAAATACGAAAATCGTAAGTGTCGCGTCACTCCGGCTTAAGCACAGTGCAGTGCCATTCTGTGTTGCGGGTGTTCAATGTGACTTTAATAGTACATATGTACGTCTGCAATTAGCCTATAATATGTATACTTTTTAACTTTTATAGTTTCCAGAGTTTACCACGTGGAGGTTGCAGTACGGTTTTAAACTCCTTATCGGGGTGGCTTTTTTAACGTGAGTCCCCTCGCCTCTCACTGTTTCCGTAAAATCGGGGTGCTTTTTGAATGTGAGTCCCCTTGCCTCTCACTACACCTACGATTTATTTAATCTTCTTTACTATCACTGTCTATTACTGGAATGTTATTTGTTTTCTTAAACAGATCACTTAGTATTTCTGCTGGTTTCAAAATTTTTGCTAAATATCTTGCGTGAGATAAATAATATATAATTGCGGCAATATGACAGCAGCATCCAATTGTTCGTAGCCCATTAGCGCATTCACATGCGTAATGTGTTACTCCAGAAATGCCTGTGCTGTTAGGTATATATCTTAAAAAACACCGGTATTTTGTGCGAGAAACGTGTCGAGACTGAACTTCAACTTTAAGCACATTTTTCTCATTTTTTACGAATTTGATATTGAGTTCTCCGTTTTTATCGATCATTTCCGCCAAATATGATACCGATTGTGACAGTTGATAAGATCCTGTGAAAAATATTTTTAAATCTCTTTCTGTCATTTCCGGAAAATCTAATAAATCCTTAGATGTAATACTTTGGAAAGGAAGTTTTCGTCGAAACCAACCTTTCTCTTCAGCTTCAGTAGCTAAAGTATTTTCGACACTTTTTCGAGTATGCATCCTTTGAACAACTTCGTCAAAAGTGTCTACATCGGAGTCAAGTCTTTTTCCAAAAGTATTATTTAAAAAAGACGCTATCCTGAAATAAAGTCCAACGTTAGGCAACAACTTATTATCAAGTTTGTGATCTAGAAGATGATACTTTTGTTTTAATACGCCATGAACAGATTCTACTACCCAACGAATTTTAGTTACAAACCGAGATTGATTTGATTCTTCTGTCGTCAACTGCTTTCGCTTTCCTTTTAAAGCTGGCATCAATACTTTAAATTTTTTTTCTTCCAAATCAGACTTTATATCTCGGAAACCGCGATCAAGAACGAAAGTATCACCTTCTTTTAAGAATTTGGACAAACCATTTGGATCTTCCATGATAATTTTCAAAATGTCCACATCATTTTGATTTGCGAGAAACGGTCCGACCATATCAACGACATATCCGTCGGTCGCACAGATGGTAAAAGGTTTGCAAAGATGTACTTTCTTCTGACCAGAGAAAGACTTTCTTTGGTACTCAGAGTTAGTACTTTTTTGATGTCGCGCATACGTACCATCGCAAATCAAAAACATGTTTTCTTGGACATCAAACAATTTTTTCGCTATTGTGGTAGTATGATTGTTGATAATATCATCTCTATTTAGAGCTTGTAAACCAAAGCGAGTTGGTAAGATGTCCCTTTCAAAAGATTTCATAATACTTCCACAATAATCAGATACTGACTGTTCAAATTCTAGTTGAAAGATGGAACTTATCACTTTATTGGAATTACCCGTGCGTAGTTTAAAAAGAAAAACAACTAAAGCTTGAATGACATAACGCGATTTACTATTTCTTAACGAAGTCATCATATCCTTTAATTCATTAAGATTATCCCATGTCAATCCTGTAAAGATCAGAAGTTGTTTTTCTGACAAACTACTTTCGCCTACTTGATCGAATAATGTGGAATCACACTTGACAGTAAGAGTTTCTATCAATTTGGACAACTCTGCTACACTAAGACTTGATGTGTTGGAGTGCACTTTCAAAAGACTGAGATCTTCTTCAAAAAGTCTATTTTTAATTATATGACTTTTACAACACCTATTACCAACTGGAATGTATATTTTTCTTTTTGAATATGATTGTATACGAGCTTCTTCAGGAATAACAATCAGATCTTTTCTCGAAGAGCAAATGCAGCAATAGTTATGAGTCGAGACAGTTCTTTGGAGAGGAATTTGAATATATTCGATATCCGAAACATCTTTTTTAGATTTTACTGCAATTTGAAATGTTGGATCCGTAGTAGACTCAACCTGAAGATCTGTTTCACATTCTGATAATATATCGGGGTTTTTTTTAATTTTATAAGTAGATAGTCGACATTTATTACATAAAATATCATTGATAGATATAGTTTTATTTAATAAGTTAGAAAGAGAATGTGCTTGTACTCCTTACTAGTTTTTTTCTACTTCCACTTTTTTTTAAAAAGATGTCGCAACTAGCACATTTTAAGTGCACGATGGCATTTAAAGACATCTTATTTATGCAGTCAAAATACACACTAGAAATGATTACGTACAAGTACTATGCACAATATAAAAATAAGACTTAAATACGTAAACACAAGTACATATACATAAAGCAATACTAGCTTTAAAAGACAAAACCCAAGTTCTGTACAAAATAAAAAATATCCGCGAAAAAAACTCCGCTCTAAAGAGATTTAATAAAAGATATCAACAGATCTCAGTTATGGCCAAACCTGCTGCTATATAATATTCCGTACTACAACCTGCTATAGCTGATCTTGCCGGCTAGATATTTAGTGTACCAAACTAAAACCCATATTTGTAATTGCAGCGCCTAAGTGTAAGTGGTAGCGCCTAGCGGCGGCGATACATATTACAGTCAATCGCGGTGCACACGACGCAGTTAGCTTTGCAGCCGTTAGGTGCGGATATATGTATCTACATGTTGTTGATACATATGCAGCATATACTAGTTTTGCAGATTGCAGTTTTTAAATATAAAAGTTAAAAAGTATACATATTATAGGCTAATTGCAGACGTACATATGTGCTATTAAAGTCACATTGAACACCCGCAACACGGAATGGCACTGCACTGTGCTTAAGCCGGAGTGACGCGACACTTACGATTTTCGTATTTTTAACTATGTTCCACCATTTTAAAAAATTTGAAAAAAAATGTATGTTATAGTGGACACTTAAGAGAAATTTTCGTAAGAATTTCAAAATGGTACCTCTAAAATATCACCCTCAAAAAAAATATTCAAAATTTCAAAAATTTTTTTTTGGTGTTTTTTTTGGCAAACATTTTGGAAATTTTTTCTGTTAATTAGTTTTATTAGTCTACATAACATATATTTTTTTCATCAAAATCGGTCAAGTGGTTTTCGAGAAAAATACATTTTTTGATTTTACTTTCTCTCTCCATAACTCTTAAAAAAATGAATTTTTTAAAATAATATTTGGTGGAAAGTTTTATCATATTGGTACTAACTTGTGACATTAATGTCAGCTCTGTATGATCAAGGGCAGATTTTTTACATGCTTATTCCGCTAGGCCCTTTCATTGGCGCAGATAAGGAACTTCGCCGCATGTTCCACGCTTCATCTGCCGACGGCCGTCGGATCTCACAATCCTGCTCCCAGGAGGGAGTATCTTGGCGCTTCAATCCTCCCACCGCCCCTCACATCGGCGGACTCTGGGAAGCTGCAGTCAAATCCACCAAGTATCACCTGCGACGGGTGATAGGGGAGACCACTCTCACCTTCGAAGAGATGAGTACCCTGCTGGCTCAGATTGAGGCGTGCTTGAATTCCCGTCCTTTACAGGCTCTGACCGATGACCCAGATGATTTGTTCGCACTAACTCCTGGACATTTTCTTATAGGAGCTCCATTGCTCGCACTTCCTGAGTCCTCCTTGGCCGACGAGGCACCAAGCAAGCTCTCACGATGGCAGCTTCTACAGCAGATGCGCGACCACTTCTGGCAGCGGTGGTCCCAAGAATACATCCACTCGATGACATCTCGTCCAAAATGGTTCAAGGACAACCACCCTCCAGAAGTCGGCGCATTGTGCCTCATCCACTCGGACATCACTCGACCAACTCGATGGCCACTCGCCCGGATACTCAAGACGCATCCCGGGGAGGACGGCGTCACACGTGTCGTCATCGTGCGCACAGCTGCTTCCGAACTCGTCCGGCCGCTCACTAAAATCGTTTTATTGCCGGTCACCGACACACTACCGCGTTTAAACGCTTAAAATGTAATATGTCTTTTGATTTGACATGTAATCATTAATGAAAATCACGCGTCGCTACTCCTCGATGTTCACTCGGCATATTATCACGTTCTCACTCTCGAAACTTCACACACAAGCCGCAGTCTCTCCGTTTTATTTTATCCTTTTTTTTTCACGCGCACTTTGTCACCGTGGAATTTCAAGCTCACCTTCATTCATCGCGTGCAATTCTTGATGCTCACCTCATCACCGCACTCCATTCGCGATTCTCACTGTTCACCATCACTATTTTTCACTGCACTCACAAATCACACTATTCTCCGCTGTACACAACACGTGTCATTACGCTACATCACCATCGCATTTCATTCATCGATCTCGATCCACTACTCATCAACGGAACCATTTGCGATACCTGTCCGTACTCGCACACACTCACACATTTCGTCATGAACTGACGAGGCGAGCGGGATGTTCAAAACTCA